TCCAACAAGGCAGATGGGAAGACTGGTTTAGCCTTTCCTGAGTTACCTGGCCAGAAAACCTCCCAAGTGATGCCTTACTTTTAGAACCTCATCAAGACAGAAGTATTTATGAGAGAAGTTTGCATACGGTTATTTGTGTTATAATTCCACACAGAAATATTAAGTCAGCACAATACAAATTTTGCAATTACTTTGCTAAAAACCAAATGCTATCTTGATAGTAGAAAAGCCACTATGGATCCTCTAGCTCATTGGTTCTCAACCTTCCTAATTCCATGACCCTTTCATACAGTTCCTCATGTTGTGGTGCCCCTTAACCATAAAATTATTTTTGTCGCTACTTCATAGCTGTCATTTTGCTACTGTTATGAATCATAATGTAAATATCTGACATATAGGATGTATTTTCATTGTTACAAATTGAACATAACCACAGCTGAATATAAAAACATAACTGATCATCATCCAGATTAAGTTTTCATGGTACAGATATATATATATATATATATATTTCCTTTTTGCAGTAGTTGATAACTTTACATTTACCCAGTAATTATAATTCATGAAGTTTCATTTTACCTCTAATACTGCTGCTTTCAACACAGCAGCTGCTTTCTACACAGTAGCTGCTCTCTACACAAGTGTGACTGGCTCGCATAAGTACATTATGGTGCCAACCCTGTCACATACACCTGTATGTGTACGGGCTGTATGTGATGGGGTTAGCGTGATGATGTCATCATACCAGGTACTCGTATGTGGGTGTATCTGCATGTGGGCGGATCACGTGGAGACGGAGGGAGGAGCAGTGTCTCAGAAAATATGTGTTTCGCGATGATGGTCTTAGGCGACCCCTGTGAAAGGGTCATTTGGCCCTCAAAGGGGTTGTGTCCCCCAGGTTGAGAACTGCTGCTCTAGCGACTACCTTCAGGTAAAGTGCCAATCAAATGACCTGACCATCAGTGTAATGGAATTTCACGCTAGCTGACAAACTATGTAACACTCTTGGTCACCTACTAGAGACACAGGTAGACATAACTTAATGTTTCTTTTATGCTAAGTTCTATATTTGTCCCTTCTCAATAAAAATAAGGTCATACAAGCTAAGGGGTCTGGGTGGTATCATGGGTTACATGTTGGACTGGCTGTTCGCCATAAAAGCTCAAACTTCACCTTCCTTTCATACACTTGTTAATCAAGGCTTTTGCCATAGAAAAGAGCAAAACCCTATACACTGGCCAATTAGACTCTGGCTGATTAGGAAAGAAGAGGCTAATAATTCCTTCAGACTGCAAATCAACTCATAATATATATTGCCTGTTTGATGCTGGCATGGATTTTTAGTCAAACTATTTGTTCTGCAAAAGCATTTGCTGTGTGTGTGTGTGTGTGTTCATTATATATTATTTCTATTGCACCTTTAAAACCTAATTATTTCATATTTCCAAAGTACTGAAGCATAAAATGATATAGATTCTGATGGGAAAAATAATGCAAT